ATCAATAGTACAACTTTACACTGAAAACATTTTGCAGCAACGTTAAACCGCCCGAGCTGCGGCTGTTATTTCCCCGGGTAGAGCATCCCAAGCAGCCGCGCCGGCAGGGCCGGAGCCATCCCTGCCATGACACAGGCTATGAGCTCCCCCTAGTCGTCAACACCCGCCACTTGCAGCCGGGGGCACAAGGCTGGCTTGCGAGGCAACTGAAAAAGCCAGCAAAGTTTATTTTGGAACGTGTTTTCCATCAACAAACAACACAGAGCGCAAAGCAATCCAGGTAGAAAATGTGGAAGAGAAGCAAAAGTCTCGTGCGAGGCATTTTGTAAGGGCGAAGATTTGCTAGCAGCAAGCTCAGCCCCGGGAAGAGCCGCTGAAGAGGTGTCAACTGAAGTCGGTAACTGATATCAATAATTTGTACTACTTCTACGAGCGCACACTCCTCTAAGTCATAATTATTGTCAAATATGTCACAAGACAACCCTTTGTTCTGCAGAGAAACATACATTTTGCGCAAGACAAGGGCTCCAACCATTCCTATTAAAGGCAGCCAGGTTGTAGAATCTTGAAGACTTTTATTTCTCAATATTTAAATAAGCCTGACAAAATATGCTCTGCATCTGCCGACCAGCAAAAAAATGCAAAATGATTTCTCACCCGCTGTACATCTATTTAAGCCATTGAGCACATCAGTCAAAAAGGACGAAGCAACCTAGATCCACAATCTAGTCACCCTGCACCAGTTTTTAAAAATATTTTAAAAGATCAGAAACTATGAAAATGTGCCAGTATTTTTTTTAATCTTATAAGTCCGATACAAATATATTCAAATGAACGGCAACCTGGAAGTCGACAGCACACAACCTTTTTTTTGTCCCCTCTCCTATTTAAAGCTAACACACGTAATGTCTTTTAAAAGCACGCTTTCTGTGCACAACTATGCGGGTATTATGAAAAAGTCAGCCATCTCCAAAATAATAATAATTTCCTCTCTAATTCTTCAGTCACAGCTTACATTCTCTTTGTATTAGAGTTGATTACATTGGTGTGGGATTTTTTCTGTAGGAAAAAGTGCATTAATTGCACTAAATCTAAATACATTTTAAGAGAAGCTCCTTGAAGCAATTTGTTAAACTTTGACATGCAAAAAATCGTAGGGTTTTTTTTTTAATTATTATTTTTAATGACTACGTACAAATACAAAGCAATAAAGGAAATTATTACTCTTCCTAGGGAACCTGTTGACCAGGTACTGAAGACCCTCCTTGGGAAACCTGGCTCTCTACCTGGAATTGTATGATTTTACTGTGCCTTTCCCTCCCAATCTTTGCTGCTGCTCTACAGAAATGTTCTTGCTTTGCCGCCTTCTGCAGAACTGCTATCAGCGAGCTTTTCACATACTCTCGCCTTTCACATTTCCTTCAAATGCAAAATGCAGGGCTAGTTTGAAAGCAGATTTCTCAAGTTAAAAAAAGAAGATCTTAAGCTGGAAAATCAGCAATTTGAATCAAACCAAAATAACGTTTCTTTGCACAGAGCAGCTCAACAGCTCAGCCTCCTCTTCTCTACATAATCGCCTCTTTTGCTTTGTCCACCCAAGTGAGCTCAGCTACCAAGTTTGTTCTGTCCACCACCACTGAAGAAAGGTCCAGAGCTGCTCTTTTCTCTCCATGTGTTTCCCCTCTTTTTGTCCTGCACATGCATCTGTTACAAGGCTGCCTGGGTGAGCCTGGCAAGGACAAACAGGCCACTCCGTTTTGCAGTCTTAAAAACCACTGTGCTAATGAGACGCTGCAACTCTGGAGCACAACTACGTTGCAGCCTCTCTGCTTTTTGTGTTTGTTTGTTTGTCTTACACTCAGGATCTAAACGTTTCTCTGAACACCAAGAGCATGAAACCCAATAAACTCCAGCTGAGCAGTGTCAGAAAACCCTTCTCTCCCTCTCTCCCCTCCCATCTCTCTCCCAATCTCTCTTTCCTTGCCTGGCACAGACCTCCAATCCATCCTGAAATGCAACTCTCCTGACAGATGCCAAAAAGGGGGGGGGGGGGGGGGAAGACCAAGCTAAACACGACATAAATGCAAGATTTCAGAAAACAGTATCAATTCATGCCGGCTTTGGGGGCTTGGCTTGGGGTCGGCTTTATCTTGCTGTAAGTGTTCTGGTTTCCCATTCCGTTGCCCGCTACTTTCCAAACTCCCCCTTGCAGAGGACAGTCTCCCCGGCTGCTTTTCCCCCACGAATGACACCTTCCCGAGGAGTGCGGGGATTGCGAAACCCCCCTCCTGCAAGCCTGCAGCT